TTAATGAACATTGTTGGGATAAATTGCAGATCGTCTGTGTGTTTCCTCAGTAAGCTGGAGCTCCAGGAAGGCAACAACAACTGAGAGATGTGAATCCAACAGTTTATTGCTCTCTTCTAAAGAAGACTGGGGTATTCCCAGCTTTTATACATCATACTCAGGGTTACATGGGTTATGAATACGTGCAAATATTCAGCTCAGTTAGGCAGAACAATTTTATCCAGTGCTCAAGAATGTCAAGGCGCAACGTCAAGGCGCCTAGTACAGGGACAACTTACAATAAGATAAGACACAGTTACAAAACAGAATATTTGGAGAGTGACTACATGGATATTTCTTCTGATCTAAATCCGTTTAACATGTACAATTATACAGACAAAAAAAAGGAGTGGCAAAGATGTGATTGTTACATTTGTTTATGGATCTTGAACAAACCATCAGCTTAATATGTAAGCACCATTTTTGTGTTTGTACGCAGTCTCTTCTCTGTAGGCACCATGCAGGATTCAAAAAAGATTTTGGCCTTAGGTATCTCGTTACCCTTTTAGTCACAACAGGTATTATGCATGCCAATGCATGAAGTCAATGACATGCAAGCACATCCCAAGAAGGTTTTCACAGCTACTGTGTTTCATCCACCAAACATTGCTCCCAATTTGAAGTGAGAACTTCAAAGATGACCCAGGTGGGACTTGAACCCACAATCCCCAGCTCCGGAGGCTGATGCCTTATCCATTAGGCCACTGGGCCATGTTGCCTGGCATTTGTCATGGATCTCTTGTATGCCTTCAAAAAGATGTCAACGCATGAAAAACTGCACTTTAGGATCTCGCTGACAGTTTGCATTCGGTCAAATAAGATGTGTGCAACTAATGGACAAACATTTTCTTTGTGCAATCATCCACATTCGTGTCTCATTGGTCCTGGGGTATGATTCTCGCGTATGGTGTGTCTGGTCTTGAGTTTCAAATTCCAGAAAAGGCTACTCTCATTAACTTGACATCACAACCTTTCTGCAGCTATTTTTATTGTTTGCATTTCATCATCATCCACCTAACATGAGACCGTTAGTTGAAAGCCACAGGTACTTGAAGTCAAGATCTCCAATACTAGAGCTTAGCGTAACCTTTTAGGTTTGTAAGGTGACAGTGAGATTCAAGCAAGATTGGATGAATCTTAATTCAAATGTGCAGCAAGTCTGAGAATTCAAAGCTAACTATTGTCCTCAGATCATCACGCCTAAGCTTTGAGGAGACAAGTCGGGATTTTTTTTCACACAACTTAAATGTAACCCAACAAACACAACCCAGATGGGACTTGAACCAACAATCCCCAGCTTCAGAAGGCAGATGCCTTATCCATTAGGGAACTGGGCCAATACTTTCATTTGCCTTATCTGTTGTATGGCTCAGGAAGTTCTTGTAACTCAGAGTCATGTCTTTTCGACCTAAGGGTATAAAGCTAGCCTTTTGAAGATCACACTGGATTGTCTTGCACAGCCAACTTAAAAGGAACTGCATCAAAGACAACCCAGGTGGAACTTGAACCCACAATCCCCAGCTTCGAAGGCTGGTGCCTTATCCATTAGGCCACTGGGCCATTATTTGGTGCCTGTGAACCGTAACATGCCTCCTGGGAGTTGCTGACACACGTAACAAAAACAACACATGTAACAAAAACAACATGAACAAAAAGTAGATTGGATCATTTTCACAGAATTTTTTGTGACACTGCAGAGTGGTTTTGCAGTGCTCGTGGGTCTAGGGGTATGACTCTTGCTTAGGGTGCGAGAGGTCCTGGGTTTAAATCCTGGATGAGCCCTACGTCAGTCACAGAAAAAGCAGTGGTGCTGTGCTCTCTATGGTGTTTCTATGTTAGTTGAAGCAACTTTTACTGTGACTTTAGTTAATGAACATTGTTGGGATAAATTGCAGATCGTCTGTGTGTTTCCTCAGTAAGCTGGAGCTCCAGGAAGGCAACAACAACTGAGAGATGTGAATCCAACAGTTTATTGCTCTCTTCTAAAGAAGACTGGGGTATTCCCAGCTTTTATACATCATACTCAGGGTTACATGGGTTATGAATACGTGCAAATATTCAGCTCAGTTAGGCAGAACAATTTTATCCAGTGCTCAAGAATGTCAAGGCGCAACGTCAAGGCGCCTAGTACAGGGACAACTTACAATAAGATAAGACACAGTTACAAAACAGAATATTTGGAGAGTGACTACATGGATATTTCTTCTGATCTAAATCCGTTTAACATGTACAATTATACAGACAAAAAAAAGGAGTGGCAAAGATGTGATTGTTACATTTGTTTATGGATCTTGAACAAACCATCAGCTTAATATGTAAGCACCATTTTTGTGTTTGTACGCAGTCTCTTCTCTGTAGGCACCATGCAGGATTCAAAAAAGATTTTGGCCTTAGGTATCTCGTTACCCTTTTAGTCACAACAGGTATTATGCATGCCAATGCATGAAGTCAATGACATGCAAGCACATCCCAAGAAGGTTTTCACAGCTACTGTGTTTCATCCACCAAACATTGCTCCCAATTTGAAGTGAGAACTTCAAAGATGACCCAGGTGGGACTTGAACCCACAATCCCCAGCTCCGGAGGCTGATGCCTTATCCATTAGGCCACTGGGCCATGTTGCCTGGCATTTGTCATGGATCTCTTGTATGCCTTCAAAAAGATGTCAACGCATGAAAAACTGCACTTTAGGATCTCGCTGACAGTTTGCATTCGGTCAAATAAGATGTGTGCAACTAATGGACAAACATTTTCTTTGTGCAATCATCCACATTCGTGTCTCATTGGTCCTGGGGTATGATTCTCGCGTATGGTGTGTCTGGTCTTGAGTTTCAAATTCCAGAAAAGGCTACTCTCATTAACTTGACATCACAACCTTTCTGCAGCTATTTTTATTGTTTGCATTTCATCATCATCCACCTAACATGAGACCGTTAGTTGAAAGCCACAGGTACTTGAAGTCAAGATCTCCAATACTAGAGCTTAGCGGAACCTTTTAGGTTTGTAACGTGACAGTGAGATTCAAGCAAGATTGGATGAATCTTAATTCAAATGTGCAGCAAGTCTGAGAATTCAAAGCTAACTATTGTCCTCAGATCATCACGCCTAAGCTTTGAGGAGACAAGTCGGGATTTTTTTTCACACAACTTAAATGTAACCCAACAAACACAACCCAGATGGGACTTGAACCAACAATCCCCAGCTTCAGAAGGCAGATGCCTTATCCATTAGGGAACTGGGCCAATACTTTCATTTGCCTTATCTGTTGTATGGCTCAGGAAGTTCTTGTAACTCAGAGTCATGTCTTTTCGACCTAAGGGTATAAAGCTAGCCTTTTGAAGATCACACTGGATTGTCCTGCACAGCCAACTTAAAAGGAACTGCATCAAAGACAACCCAGGTGGGACTTGAACCCACAATCCCCAGCTTCGAAGGCTGGTGCCTTATCCATTAGGCCACTGGGCCAATTTATGGTGCCTGTGAACCGTAATATGCGTCCTGGGAGTTGCTGACATACGTAACAAAAACAACATGAACAAAAAGTAGATTGGATAATTTTCACAGAATTTTTTGTGACACTGCTGAGTGGTTTTACAGGGCTCGTGGGTCTAGTGGTATGACTCTTTCTTAGGGTGCGAGAGGTCCTGGGTTTAAATCCTGGATGAGCCCTACGTCAGTCACAGAAAAAGCAGCTGTGATGTCCTCTCTACGGTGTTTATATGTTAGTTGAAGCAACTTTTACTGTGACTTTAGTTAATGAAAATTTAGTGGACTTCTGATCTAAATCCCCCTAACATGTACAATTATACAGACAAAAAAAAAAGGAGTGGCAAAGATGCGATTGTTACATTTGTTTATGGATCTTGAACAAACCATCAGCTTAATATGTAAGCACCATTTTTGTGTTTGTACGCAGTCTCTTCTCTGTAGGCACCATGCAGGATTCAAAAAGAACTTTGGCGTTAGGTATCACGTTACCCTTTTAGTCACAACAGGTATTATGCATGCCAATGCGGGAAGTTAATGACATGCAAGCACATCCCAAGAAGGTTTTCACAGCTACTGTGTTTCATCCACCAAACATTGCTCCCAACTTGAAGTGAGAACTTCAAAAAAGACCCAGGTGGGGCTTGAACCCACAATCCCCAGCTCCAGAGGCTGATGCCTTATCCATTAGGCCACTGGGCCATGTTACCAGCCTTTTGTCATGGATCTCTTGTATGCCTTCAACAAGATGTCAACGCTTGGAAAACTGCACTTTAGGATCTCGCTGCCAGTTTGCATTCGGTCAAATAAGATGTGTGCAACTAATGGACAAACATTTTCTTTGTGCAATCATCCACATTCGTGTCTCATTGGTCCTGGGGTATGATTCTCGCGTATGGTGTGTCTGGTCTTGAGTTTCAAATTACAGAAAAGGCTACTCTCATTAACTTGACATCACAACCTTTCTGCAGCTATTTTCTTGTTTGCATTTTATCATCATCTACCTAACATGAGACCATCAGTTGAAAGCCACAGGTACTTGAAGTCAAGATCTCCACTACTAGAGCTTAGCGTAACCTTTTAGGTTTGTAACGTGACAGTGAGATTCAAGCAAGATTGGATGAATCTTAATTCAAATTTGCAGCAAGTCTGAGAATTCAAAGCTAACTATTGTCTTCAGATCATCACGCCTAAGCTTTGAGGAGACAAGTCGGGATTTTTTTCACACAACTTAAATGTAACCCAACAAACATGACCTAGATGGGACTTGAACCAACAATAACCAGCTTCAGAAGGCAGATGTCTTAACCATTAGGCCACTAGGCCAAAACTAGCATTTGCTATATTTGTTGTATGGCTCAGGAAGTTCTTGTAACTCAGAGTCATGTCTTTTCGACCTAAGGGTATAAAGCAGCCTTTTGAAGATCACACTGGATTGTCTTGCACAGCCAACTTAAAAGGAACTGCATCAAAGACAACCCAGGTGGGACTTGAACCCACAATCCTCAGCTTTGAAGGTTGGTGCCTTATCCATTAGGCCACTGGGCCATTTTTTGGTGTTGCGTCTTCCCTGGGCAAAAGTTGGCTCAGTTGTTGAATAAAAGCAAAACAATTATGTGTCTGTAGGCCATATTTGTTACACTGTTTTTGTTAAAGTAGTAGATAAAAAGGAAATAATAGGTATTGAAAATAAATTTAAAAAATAGTCGATGGATTGGAATAATATTTATATGAATATAATTAAGAAAGTGATAGAAGACATTGTAGAACCATTAATCTATATTTGTAATAGATATTTCCAATCTGGTAAATTTCCACATAAAATGAAAATTGCAAAGGTAATTCCACTTTATAAATCTGGAGATAAACAATACTTTACAAATCATAGGCCAGTTTCTATACTATCTCAGTGTTCAAAAATTTTAGAAAAACTCTTTGTAGACAGGCTTAATAATTTTATAGAAACGCATAACCTTTTAGCTGATGAACAATATGGTTGCAGGAAAAATAGATCAACATCTCTGGCATTAACAGAAATTATTGATAAAATTTTTAATAAGATAGATAAAAAAGAGAAGGTAGTATGAATTTGTATAGATTTGAAAAATGCATTTGATACAATAAATGGTATGGTATTAGAGGAGTAGCCTTGGACTGGATAAGCTGTTATTTAAAAAATAGGCAACAGTTAGTTAAAATTGGCAATCATAAATCATCATATCCAAATGTAAAGTGTGGCATACCACAAAGATCAGTTTTATGTCCAATATTGTTTATAATTCAAATTAATGATATGTGTAAGAAATCAGAGCTGTTTACGTTTACTTTTTTTGCAGATGATACCAGTATCTTTTGTTTTGGGGATAATTCACCAAAACTTATGGAGTTGATTAAAACAGAAATTAATAAATTTAAATTATGGTTTGATGTAAACAAACTGTTATTAAATATTAGTAAAACTAAGGTTATGTTTTTTGGGAAATTAAAAAGTTGTTATAATATAGATTTACATATTGATAATGAAGTTATAGAAAGAGTATATGCAATTAAGCTTCTTGGTGTTTACTGAATCATAAAATTAGTTGGAAAACACAAATAAACAATGTGATATCAAAATTAGTAAAAACTAGCAATAGTGTATAAAGCAAGATTTATCCTGGACAATAAATCAATGTATATATTATATAACACAATTTTATGTTACAATATATGAGTTATTGTATTGAAATTTAGGGAAATATATATAAATCTAATTCACGATCCATCTGCAGAATGCAGAAAAAAAGTAATTAGACTAATAGAACATGTGCGGTATCTGGAGCATACAAATCCTTTATTTTTTTATTAAAAATATTTAAGTTCAATGATTTGGTTAAATTTAAAACAGCACAATTTATGTTTAAAGAGCCCCTATTATGCATGAAATAGGGTCACATTCCGGTTGTAAGGCTCTCCAACAACAGTCTAATATGCATGCAAGGTCAAAAAACACTTTCATGGTCTAATAATATGCATTTATTTTTACCTAATTATCCCAGCGACTGCCATATGAATCGTTCAGTGATTCAGTTGTTCCCAAACACCTCCTTAGCGCTAAGCTAAGTTGCGCTGATTGGACCAATGACAGTCTGCTCCGATTGGTTGACACTGACAGCCTTCAGCGCAAGACAGAGTGAAATGCCCAGCAGCTAATCAACAATATAAAAGTAGTCACAGTGTACACCCGCTTTATAGAGTAAGGTGTGGATTTTGGCTGCAAGTAGGTGAATGTAAATACAGATGATGGACTTGAAAATACCAACGACTAACTATTTTTATTGAGCGAAAACTCCAAGAACTGGGGAGGAGATCAACAAGAGTCTCCTAGCCCGTAAGACTCTACCTGCTCTTTTTTCACACACACACACACACACACACGCACGCACGCACGCGCACACACACTACCTTCCTCCTCAGAAGAACTGAGGAGATTGATACTAGCCCCTCACACTCTACCTGCTCTTTTTTCACACACACGCACATTACCCTCCTCCTCAAAGGACACAACACCAAAACAAATGTCCTTAACAGAAACATTCAAAAACAGAATACATAGAATGCACTTTCGGGTTGAGGGTGACGTGATTGTAGTTCGCCTAGAGCGCCAGTTCAGCTTGCTCCGGCCCTGGATGTAATTCAGACACCTCACCTCAAACCTGAGCTGAACTATTTTGAAACTTGACCGTTGCACGTGTGTAGGAACAGCTGACGACCTGTAAACAAAACGGCATGCATCGCATTTTCAACGTGGCTTTACACGCGATATGAGAATATAAAGAGTTAACCTGATACAGTACACGCGGTTACAAGTGACAAAACACAACTAAATACATCATTTGCAAGCTAGAGTAAACGAGGCAACAATTTTAATCGCACGTACACTTGTGAAGTGGAGGAAGAAACTGGTCCATGATGCACTGATCCATGTTCTGACATAGTCCCTCAAGTTACATCAGTGGTCTTTTCTGATCCTTCCTTTAACAAACGGCCAATGAATTCTATGTAAGCATGTAGTTTTCCGAGGCACTGCACAAGGCTGGGCTATAATGCTGAGGTATTTTTGCAAAATAAACCTCAACCACAGACTCTTCACAGTTTCATCTTTGGGTAGACTTTCAATAATTTCCAGCTGAGCACAGCGGCATCTGTGTGTGTCTAAGGGTGCTTTCACACCTGTGAATCGATTCAGTTGTTCCGAAACAGAGATTACAATTGTTACATTGTTGCTCTTTGCTCTTGGAGCGGTTCGCTTTCACACTGCAAAGTTTCTAAACGGACCAAAAGAGCTAAAACAAGTCTCGTGCGAGTAAACTCTCCTTACATTGATCAGAGTGTCAGGGTTTATTTTGCAGCGTCCCGCTCAGCTGTCAGGAGAGGTGGTGGTTTGGTGGTGATTGACAGGGTGCGCGCGCGACATGTCTGAGGAGAGACGCGGTGGGGAGGGGTGAGAAGTGTGCGCGACGATGCCTATTTGAGGGAGGGAGACGCAAGATTACCGGGAGATCATCACTCGTTTGCGGGCATCCGGAGACTCGCGAAACTTCCCATCCTACTCATAACTCTCTCTTCATATAGCCGTAAGCCTATTACATATGCATAAAACACTGTGATATAACCGCGCTCGGATCGGATCGCTTTCTCACTGCAATCGAACCGCTCCAGGGTTCGTTTCAATCGAGCCGAGACCACCTTATTCAAGCGATCTCGGAGCGATTACTTTGGCGCGGAACAGAGCGCGATTGCCCTGTTCACATATGCCAATCGAACCGTGCTAACTGGGCAAACAAGATACGTTCCGAAACAAAAGTGTAGGTGTGAAAGCACCCTAAGCCTTTTTTTCTGTGTTAGTGGGCGGGGCTGCAGTTTTCAAATCTCCCGGGTTGAAAACAAGAACAACTTTAAAAAGTTTGTGTATGTCTGTTTGTGGTGTGAAACTATGGAACAGTCTAGATCAGACTCTCAAACAATGTCAGGATAATATTCAAATAAAAAAAACGGTATAAATATATATTATTAAAGTAATATAATGATGAAGGTGATTGAAAAAGGATAAAAAGAGAAAGGTATTATGAAATTTTAATTAATGGCTATTTGCAGTACTATGTTTTTTTTTTTTTTTTCTGTTTGCAGTTCCATGTATTTTTTCTTTCCTTTGGGTCTATGTTACAAAATGTAAAGGTAAAAAATGGAATCAAACATATAATTTATCAAAGATGCCAAAAGGATAAAACATGTATCATGTACAAAGAAGAGACAAGTAAAAGAAGAAATTTTATGTATTTTTTATATATGATATTTTTGTTCGAAAATAAATAAATCAAATAAAAATATATAGGTTACAGCTGTTTTACTGTTCAGTTCACTACAGTTATTTTTTATTTTTCGTTTTTGCAAATAAACTCTTAAAATTCTAATTAAAAAATTACTTTAATCCAAAAAACATCTGTGAAAAAGTACAAAATATTCTTGAAAGATGTTGAAGAACAAACCCTTTGGAACACAAGTGCAGTACAGTTCTTACCACACCATTGGCATATTATACATTGGCATACTGCACAGGTGCAGTAAAGACGGAGTTTACTTGTTTTAACTCCAGTTTACTGCAGCTTATACTGCTGTTGAACTTTATTGTACTGTATTTGAACTGTGTTTATGCTTCATTGTATTGCAATTTTGCAATTATACTTAAATTTATTGCAGTTATACTTCTATACTGCTGTTATACTGCAGTTTTACTTCAGTTTACTGCAGTTATTTTTGTAAGGGCTTCACACCAGCATTGCCATACAGAAATAAAAAAAGAAAATGCTCAATACGTTAATATAGAAATGATGAACAAACATTAGTGCTGTAGAACCAATGTACTATCTGGGTCAGAATGTAAAGCTTTTAGTTGGCGTTAAGAAAGTTTAGCTTAGTGTTCATCAGGGAGATCCAACATCTGCTAGTAAAACACCACACGATTGTTGACTGGGTTAAACAAGTTTTTTTTTTTTTTTGCAAACAAATCAATAAAAAATGACACACGTAACAAAAACAACATGAACAAAAAGTAGATTGGATCATTTTCACTGAATTTTTTGTGACACTGCTGAGTGGTTTTACAGGGCTCGTGGGTCTAGTGGTATGACTCTTTCTTAGGGTGCGAGAGGTCCTGGGTTTAAATCCTGGATGAGCCCTACGTCAGTCACAGAAAAAGCAGCGGTGATGTCCTCTCTACGGTGTTTATATGTTAGTTGAAGCAACTTTTGCTGTCACTTTAGTTAATGAAAATTTAGTGGACTTCTGATCTAAATCCCCCTAACATGTACAATTATACAGACAAAAAAAGGAGCGGCAAAGATGCGATTGTTACATTTGTTTATGGATCTTGAACAAACCATCAGCTTAATATGTAAGCACCATTTTTGTGTTTGTATGCAGTCTCTTCTCTGTAGGCACCATGCAGGATTCAAAAAGGACTTTGGCGTTAGGTATCTCGTTACCCTTTTAATCACAACAGGTATTAT